AATTGACTTCAAGAATCCTCAATTTTCATGACTTTTCTTTCCTCCACACAGGGAGAGACCAATAGTTGCACATTAGATGGCTGCTCATGAGCTTTTAGGATCCCAGTTGCTACTCACAAAGGTTGTTGCTGTTATTAAGTGCCATTGAGTTGGTACTCACAGTGACCTTATGCACAACAGAACAAAACACTGTCCTGTTCTGCACCAACCTCACACTCATTGCTACACTTAAGCCCATTGCTACAGCCACTATGCCAATCCATCTCATTCGGGGTGGGGGTGGGGGATGTGTCTTTCTTTCTTTTTTGCTAACCCTCTGCTTTACCAATCATGATGTCCTTCTCCAGGAACTGGTCTTTAATGATAATATGTCTGCAGTATGAGACAAGGTCTCACCATCCCGGCTTCTAAGGAGCATTCTGCTTGTACTTCTTCCAACACAGTATATTTTTCTTTTGGCAGTCCATGGTACCCTTAATATTCTCCTCCAAAATCATAACTCAAATGCATCAATTCTTCTTTGGTCTTCTTTATTCTCATCCAACTTTCACATGCATATGAGGTTACTGAAAATAACACGGCTTGGGTAAAGCACACCTTAGTTCACAAACTGACTTCTCTGCTCTTGAACACTATAAAGAGCTCTTGATCAGATTTGCCTAATGCAATACATCGTCTGATTTCTTGACTGCTGATTCCACTAGTGTTGATAGTTGATTTGAGCCAAATGAAATCTTTGTGAAGTTCAATTTTTTCTCCATTTATATGGAAGTTATTTATTGATCCAGTGGTGAGGAATTTTGTTTTCTTTACATTGAAATGTAACCTACTCTGATCTTCATAAATATTTTAAGTCCTCTTTGCTTTCAGCAAGCAAAGTTGCATCATCTGCATATTGCAGGTTGTTAATGAATAATCCTCCAATCAGCCATGTTCTTCTTTATATAATCCAGCTTCTCAAATTATTTGCTCAGTATACAGATTGAATAAAAATGGTGAAAGAAAACAACCCTGGCATGTGTTTTAATTTTAAACCATTCAACCTAATTTTAAACCATTCTGTGTTCCCTTGTACTATTTGAACAACTGCCTCTTGGTCAACGTACAGATTCCCCAAGAGCACAATTAAGTATTCCAGAACTAATTTTCCGCAATGTTGTCTATAACTTGTCATGATCCACAAATCAAAAGATTCTGCATAGTCAGTAAAGCACAGGTAAATGTTTTTCTGGTATTACCTGCTTTCAGCCAAGATCCATCTGATGTCAGCAATGATACCCCACATCCTTATCTGAATCCAGCTTCAAAGCCTCTATTAACTCCCTGTCAATGCACGATTAGAGCCATTTTTGAATTATCTTTAGAAAAATTTTACTTGCATGGGATATTAATGATGTTGTTGGATGACTTCCGTGTACAGTTGAGTCACCTCTCTTTGGAATGGGCACAAATATGTTTATCTACCAATCAGTTGGCCAGGTAGCTGTCTTCCAAATTTCTTGGCATAGATGAGTGAGTGCCTCCAGTACTGCATTAATTGTTGAAAGATTTCAATTTGTATTTAATCAATTCCCACAGCCTTGTTCTTTGCCAATGCCTTCAGTGTACCTTGAACTTCTTCCTTCATTATCATTGACTCTTGATTATATACTACCTCTTGAAATGTCTGATCATCAACCATTTCTTTTTGGTACAGTGACTCTGTGTATTCTTTCTCTCTTCTTTTGATTCTTTATGCATCATTCAGTATTTTACCCATAGAACCCTTCAGTATTGCGAGTGAAAGCTTGAATTTTTCTTCAGTTCCCCCAGCTTGAGAAATTCTGAGCATGTTCTTCCTTTTTGGTTTTCTGACTCCAGACCTTTGCACATTATGCTGTAATATTTGACTTTGTCTTCTCGAGCTGACCTTTGAAAATTTCTGTTCAGCTCCTTTACCTCCTCATTTCTTCCATTTGCTATAGTATCTCTATGCTGAGAACAAATTTCAGTCACTTCTGATATC